GAAGAAGGAAATGACAAACCATTCCAGTATCTTTGCCAAGAAAACCCCAAATGGGGTCGCAAAATATCAGACTTACCTGAAATGATTCAACAACAACATTGAAATTAACTTAAGCAAATAGTTCATAAGCAAGTTTAATTAGATGTATTAATGTTCTGTTGGACATTAACTTTTGGGGAGATGTCACATTTTAGTTTTTCCCAATTACATGTAAAAACAATTCTTAACATTAGTTTTTTAAAATTTGTGAGTTCTGAATTCTCTCCTCCTTTCCCTCCCCCCTTCCTGAGACGGCAAGCAATTTGATAAAGATAATACATGTGCAGTCATGCAAACCATAATTCCGTATTAGTCATGTTGGATATTAGCCTTTTAATAAAGCATTTAAAAATATATCCAAAACATTCAGCTGCTCTCCCCCCTCTCCCCACAAAAAACAAAAAACAAAACAAACAAAAAACTAGCAAAGAATTGAAAAGCAAAAGCAAGCCTGGGCTAAAACTAGACACACAATTAAAGCTTCATGCCATTGGTTTAAGAGTTTGCCTTTGGTTAAATAAAACAACAGCTAACATTTCTGTAGCATTTTAAGGTTTGCAAAGTGTTTTACAAGATATTGTCTCTGATCTTAACAACCCCATGAGGTAGGTGCGATTATGGCTTAAATTGTTTAAAAAGCCATTCAGGCAAGGAGCAGGAGTAGAATGGGAGTAGGAAACTGAGAGGCAAAGATGATTGTATTAAATGCCAAAATATAACTCATGGCTCTGGCAAACAGAGACCGACATCACTCTTGAATGAAGTTAGATGGGCAAAAATATTGGTTATATGGCTAGCCAAATGATTTTCATTGAGGTAACTTGCTCTGCAAAATCCAATTTGTTTCCCCCTCCAATTCAATTTCCAGAAGTACAGCAAAGCTCTAAATTGTACCATTTACCTTTCACTTCATTATTTAATTCTAAGGTTATGTCCTGGGGCTTACAGTGGGAAGGATATTGACAGGATGAAGAGAAAAATCCCATGTACGCAAATCACTCTGATGAGTGCTGAGTATTTTATAATTTTCCCATTTAAAAGAGTGGTATGTGTTTCCCACTTGGGAAGGACAGGAGTATCCTTATGATAGTTCTACAACATAACTCATACTGACAATGTGTGTGTGTGTGTGTGTGTGTGTATGTGTGTGTGTGTGTGTGTGAAGTAGGACTGGAAACCAGGCATTCCTGACTCCAGGCAGGCTCTCATATAATTAAAAAAATGTAGATATGCAAAAATCTACACAAATACATATACATATATACATGTATGTCTATAGTTAGAAGTATGTGCACATATGCATGTGTATATGTGTATGTGTTTATATGTGCATACACACACCCACACATATATACATATATACCCACACATATATCTACTTCCTTTCCTTAGCCTTGGCTAATTTAAGAGTTCAGTGATCTCTAAATTAGAATAGATCACACTGATATAAGGGCAGCTAGTAGGCACATATAAGGCACAGTAGATAGAGCATGGAGCTTGGAATCAAAAAGGCTCATCTTTGTTAATTCACATCCATCCTCAGACATTTACTAGCTGTGTGATCCTGGGCAAGTCACTTAACTCTTTTGCCTCCATTTCCTCCTCTGTAAAATGGGCTGGAGAAAGAAATGGCAAACCACTCCAGTAAGTTTGCCAAGAAAACCCCAAACTGGGTTGTGAAGAGTCAGACACAATTGAATAACAACTCAACAACAACAACATTGATATAGCCTCAGAAGGTTTGCAAAACACTTTTCTGTGGTAAAAGATTATTCCAATTTTACAGATAAGAAAAAGATATAGAAATGGTTTATTTTTGTTTTCAAACTTATTTACACTGAGGTGTGAAGGATTGGGAGGGATTAATGAATTACATATCCCAGGGATGTTTGCAGGGATAGTTTTGCTGGTAGTGAGGTAGTGTGGTAGATAAAACAATGGACTTGGAGTCAGGAAAACCTGAGTTCAAATGTGACCTCAGACCCTTACTAGCTCTGTGACCCTGGGCAAACCATTTAGCTTTTGTCTGCCTCAGCTTCCTTAACTGTAAAATGAGGATAATAATAGCAATCTACCTCCTAGGGTTATTGTGAGGATCAGATGAGATAATACTTGTAAAGTACTTTGGGAACCTTAAAATGCTACATAAATGCAAGCTATTATTATCATTACTATTATTATGATTATTATTATTATTATTATTATTATTATTTAACCAAAGCAAACCCTTAAGCCAAAGGCATGAAGCTCTTACTGGGTGTCTCGTTTCAGGCACCAGCCAAACCACTTGTAAAAGATAATGTGTGCGTGTGTTTGTGGGGAGGAGGTGCTGAAAGACTCCCAGGCCTGCCTGTTTGAGTGAATCATCAACCACGGGGTCCAATGGTGTCTAAAGTCCCAACGACAATACCCATGCTGAAAAGGAAGCTAGCTGTACTAGATGATTGCTTACCTGGAAAACTAATGCTGTTACAGAGCCCTGCAGCCTGATGATTGTTCCTCGAATTTTAAATAGCTGTTGGGTACTTAGCTGTGCTTTAAAAATGGAAGGGTTTTAGATCAATTGGTGGAACGCCATTTTTCTCCCTCAAAACCATTAAATGTTTTGGCATATGAGGCAGATAGACCCCCAAATCCCCTATACAATTTTCCTTTACTTAACACTCATTATTTGTGAGCAGGTCACCTTTACTTGGATGTCTGCTGGTTAGATATATCTGTACTCCTTTGATGTCAAAAGAATTAAACAAGGATTCAGAAAGGTGATGGAAACACCGCAGGCTCGAGGCTGCCAGCTTTCCTCCAGCTCCAGGAAGACTCAAGGCCCATGGCTGTATGCGCCTTTCAACCCTCCACTTCGAAAGCTCTGCCACCAAAGATTAGCAATTACTGGCTTTGGTGCCTAGCTGATTAACTTCCCAAAGCAGACGGGCTTGGGATAAGTGACTGTGCCTCTGTTAATCACACCTCTCCTCTCTGATTGGCCCCCTTGGGATGAGCAGGAGAAATTATACAGATGAACCAGTGAAACATGAAAATATCTCTCCTGCTGCTGAACTGTAGTAGTCCTGATGCCATGCATGAGAGTTAATCATTGAAAAAGTGAAATCACCAATTTAGCATTCCCAGATTGAAAATGTAATAAGCAAATCAGAGGGGCCTTTTGGAAAGCTGCTGCCCCTCCTTTTTATCAGTGGAAAAAGAAACTGATGAATATATATATATATATATATATATATATATATATAAATGTGTGTATTTTATATGTGTGTGTATTTGTATGATATATGTGTGTGTACATATAAGGAAATGACTCAAATGATTTAATAGTGGGCAATAGATGCTATACCTATCCTCTTAAAGGCCTGTCATCTCATTTTGAAGCTTAAGGAATTAGCCTTTCAGGATTCAAAGATGTATTTTATACCTAGACATTATATCTACCATCTCAGATTTTCATTGTCACACATTGCTCCAACAGATGGGAACAAATAAATTAAAAAAAAAAACCCAAACCTCAACCCTGCCCCTTCACCTGTCACAAGAACAAGGTATCGTGAAGTGATGAGTAGGACCTGGCAGCATATACAAGTGTCTCGACACCGGTGAATTGATAAGCCTTAATCCATTAGGAAAAATCCTCATTTGCAAAAAGAGGTCAGACTTTTCCTGATGCCCTATTCTAAGAAGACGAAATAGATCTTAGCAAGCTCATCAGTCTTTGTGAAAAAGCAAAAAGGAAAAAAGAGGCAAATGTTAAATATTATTTTTGAAGTTATTTTCAATTTTATGTTTCACAGCAAGAATTAACCACAGGGATTTACTCAAGTTCAGTTTGGGACCTGAATTAATTTTACTAACATAAATGTTAAAGTATACTAATAACAGCAAATGACTATATTTCAAGATTTGGGGAGGGGGGACATGAGTCTTCCCGGAGCTGGAGGAACACTGGCAGCCTTGAGCCTGCAGTGTTTCCAACACCTTTCTAAATCCTTGCTTGATTCTTTTGACATCAAAGGAGTACAGATATATGTAACCAGCAGACATCCAAGAAAAAGTGACCTGCTCACAAATAACGAGTGTTAAGTAAAGGAAAATTGTATAGACGATTTGGGGGCCTTTTAGTCCTTTTAGGCTTGTTTGGGTAAAATGAAACAATGTTTGCAAATCTTAAAGTTCTGCATAAATGAGAGTGGTTATTATTTGTAACTCAGCACTGCAGTGTAAGAATATGGTGGGGGGATATTTTTCTTGCAGACAAAGAGAAGGACATTTTAAGGGAGCGGTTGAAATTCCAATATACTTTTTTTTATTTCCATCATTAAATTAGTGTGTCACCTAAAGAAAAGAAATACCTTACCTATTATGCACCTCTTTGGAGAAGTCAGAGAGATTTCTGGGAAACCAAAAGGTTTTGTGGGGCTTTGAAAAAAATCCCAAAGATGCTGCAAAAGAGATTTTTCCCCAAGGTCAAGGTTGGGGAGAGGTGGCTCTGTCAGTCTACTTAGAAGGAGCAGATGAAGACTCTGCTAGCAATGAATAGCTTTGATGTGCCAAGGAAGTGCAGCCACAACTGTCCAACCACACCCCTGAGTCAGGGGTCTAAGAAAAGGCAACCCAACCCCAGAAGACTGATGACCACGAACATTTGCAAAAACCAAGTGATGTTATAAAAACAAAAGTTATGATGATCTAAATATACTTGGAAATTGATAATTAGCAAATATGTTTTGACTAATTTTTCCCCATTAAAGAATGTCAATGCTGCAATTTTTACCTTCTATGCATTGCAGGTATAGGGATTCAGCCATCCTTTCCCCAGACCAGACCTGCCCTCATTTTTGTTAAAGCAAAGAGACCGCATCTCATGCTATCATACAAAGAAGAGGAAATGCTTCTGAAGGCATGGAAGGAGGAGGACTACAGAAGAAAGTTTTGAATCCAGGGGCAAGCATCACCTCAGATGACTGGTCCCCTTGACAGTCTTCCTTCTTAGTCGCTTCTTGGATTTCCTTAGTCTGCTGGATATAGGTATTCCCAGCCTGGATCTCATTTTCCAATAATAACACATCTTCCAGAGAAATGGGCCAGTTCGCCTCTTGTAAGGCCTCCTGTATTGCCTCTTTATTTTCCAAGTATTGAACTGGCTCCTGTATTTTAAACCTAAGTGGAAAAAATAACATAAGAAACACACGAAGATGATCCAGTGTGTTCTAGACACTGGATCATCTTCATGTGTTTTTTATGGTATACATGGGCCCTTAATAAATGATTATTTGGATGCATCTTAGTAAGCTTCCTCATAAAAAAAAATAAAAAACCTCTACCAAAGTACTTAACACATGCTAGCTGGCAGTTATAATCACACGTCAATTGACATTTATCTACCCAGGACTCTTTATAGACGGAATGTTGATAAACCAATTATCCTCCCCAACAAAGCAAGAACACATGTTCAGCCCATGCCTTTCTCTGGGGGCTCAGAATTAAAAAGTACAGAGCAAGCGGCTCTGGGAACTTTCCTACCCTCAAGCCCCGGGGTGACAAGGAGAGAAATTCAGTAGCTGCATTTCAAAAAAGACATGGGCTCTTTTTTGATTTATTACAAACAGTCAGACTCTTTCCTTTGGCAGCCCACATGCTCCATCTGTTCTTTGTATTTCCATCTTAGGGCTCGAAAAGAATGGAAACTAAACTTTCCAAGAGGAAATTGTTAGTTTATGGGACTGCTTGTCTAGCTAGTGTGTCTGATGACCAAAGACCTATCCTGGCCCCACCCCTTCCAATTTCCAGCTCCTCTTTGTGTTATGTCTTTCCCCCTCCCATTAGAATATAAACTCCTTGAGGACAGGGATTATCATGTTTGTATTTGTATCTCCAATCCAGGCACATCGTAAGTGCTTAATAAATGTTCACTCTAATCTCTCCCTCTCTCTCTCTCTCCAGTTTTTTTTTTTTATCATTTCAGAAACTCAGAAGTTAGGGTGTGTTATGTGTGTACAGGTGAATGCATTATAGAGGAAATGGGGGGGAGGAAGAAGGAAGAATGGTGAGGAAAAGGAGAAGAGAAGAGAAAAAGAAAGGGGAAGTCAGAGGGAGAAAGAGAAGAATGGAGAAAGGGATTGGAGGTGTTATTATCTCTACAGTGAGATATAAAACAAGCCTTTCATATATCGGGTTAACCCAAGCAACATTGTGGAAATTCAAGTACAGTTGTGAGGAGCAGAGGGATATATTAAAATCTATATTCCAGAAAATTCTTATCTCAAATGTAAACTGGCTTTATGACTCCTGACTGATTCAGAGCCATCCTTCCAATCCTCCCAATGCTCTATATCAGAATACAGAAGTAAAATACTACCTGAAAATCTACTTTCTTTTGTAAAGGAGCAGAAGTAAAGAAGACTGGAGGAGGATGGGGAGAGAATTTCCTTTATCAGTTTCATTCTCCTCCATATCAGAAAGCCCATGAGGTGGAACACCTATGTCTTATGTCAGGTTAGACTAAGGATTTGTAGTTGTTTACATCCCCTTTGCCCAATGTTATCTCTCAAACCTGAAATTACATATCCTTCAAAGAAAGCAGAATTCAACATCTAATAATGAACAATCAAGTCAGAACTGAATGGATTCTTAATGCACACACAAATTCAGGGTTAAATGTCACCCTTTATTTATTTATTGCTGACTGAATAAGCAAAGCTAAGGGCTAGTCTAATGCCACAGAATGCCTTTTGATTATAGCCTTAGGAAGTGATTAGGTGATACAACAACTTACTTTTCTCTTTCTTCTGGAGAAAATGCTTTCCAAATGAGCAGATTTAAGCGCCTGTTTTCAAAAACAAAACCAGCAACAATTTATTCAGCCTTGTATTGCATTTAGTGTATAAAGGTGACGATCATAAGGCTACAAGTATAAATTACTTATAAAGGCAAAATGGGCAGCTATGTGGTAGAGTGTATAAAGTACTGGGGCTGAAGTCAGGAGGACTCATCTTCCTGAGTTCAAATTCAGCCTCAGACAGTTACTAGCTGTGTGACCCTGGACGAGTCACTTCACCCTGTTTGCCTCAGTTTCCTCATCTGCAAAATGAGTTGGAGAAGGACATGACAAACCACTCAAGAACCTTTACCAAGAAAACCCCAAAGGGGGTCACAAAGAGTCTGACACAACTAAGCAAAGGCAAAGTCATCAAACACATCCTTTTGGGGAGGGCTCAGGGTTGTGAGCACAGTGGTTGAGCGGCATGTCCCCTTGGTCACTGACGTGTGAAATTACCTTGGATAAGATCATCTTCCACCCAGGAGCAGGATTTGTGCAGAGTTACGGATGGATTTGTAGAAATCTCTTTAGGTTTCTTGGCAAAGCCAAGGGAAGCCTTAGAACCAGACTCAATTATGTAAACCCAAGGCTGGTAAACTCAAGAAAAGAGTTCCTGGTCACACTCGGATAAGAAACCACCTGACCAGGCTCACTTCAACACTCCACGGATCTGATTTCATCAGTGCAGCGAGAGTACGAGCTCTTTCAGAGGACCTTGGTTTGGATCTCACCTCTGACATTTACTACTTGGGAGATTTGGGCAAATCATTTGATTTCCCTGGGCCTCAATTTCCTTACGTTTTCAACAAACAAGTTGAACCAGATGGATCTTTTCTCTCTGTAACCCTATGATCTTGCACTATCCTCTCTCCATGGGTACAATTCTTCCGCATTCTGCAAGATAGTCTTTGGGAGCCCAAAATTTCAGCACTCTGGAGCCTGCCTTTGTCTCTTGCTCCCTGTGTGACTTTGATTCAGTGATTTCATTTTCCCAGGCCTCAGTTTTCCCCTCTGCAAAATGAAAGGGTTCAACTGGATGGCCCTGACGATCCCTGTTGGCTCTTAATCTAGGATGCTATGAAGCTGGTGATGAGTGTCTCTGGGTCTTTAGAAAACAGAGATACTGTCTGTCACTGGACCCATATTCTAAGGCTTTCTTGCTAGGTAGGACACAACAAGGCTTATAGTCCGCCAACAGAGCCTCCTCAGATAGACCCTCCATAGCATGAGGAGGTTAATAGAAAAGGACTTGCAAGGAAAATGGGGTTTGATGTGGTTTCTTTTTTTTTTCTCTTCAGAAAAGGAGGAACTCTGCCCTAACCTCCCTTGCTGGAGTTGTCCTCCTACCTGATCTAGAAGAACAAAAAATGGGGAGCTATGGTGGAGACAGAATTAAATCACTAAATCATAAAATGTTAGTGTTGGCTGGAACCTTGGAGATTTTCTAGCTCAATTTCTTTCTTTTACCTCTGGGGAAACTGAGGCCTAGAGAAAAGAAGTAGTTCATCCAAGGTCTAGTCAGTAATAGAGCTGAAGGGAAAATCCAGATCTCTTGACTCCCAGTCTGCTACTATGCTACATAGGATGCTCGCTCTAGGACCACCATTTTAGAAGATGCCACATATTTAGAAGATACCAGGTAATTTGTCACTTAACTTCACCCTATTTGCCTCAGTTTCCTCATCTGTAAAGCAAACTAGAGAAGGAAATGGTAAACTCCTCCAGTATCTTTGACAAGAAAACCCCAATGGGATCACAAAGAGTTGGACATGACTGAAAAATGACTGAACAACAACTCCTCGAACAAGTCCATCAGTGTATGTATTAGAATTCATGTAAGAATTTAGTCTACAGAAATCCCATAAGTTTCATCTACTGTTAGAAATAAGAATGAGCATATTCAGAATATAAAAATATATAAAAATATATAAAAATATATAAAAATATTAAAAAGTCTTATGCAGACACTTTTAACTTGCTGTATTTTAAAAAATAAATTTATTTATTTTTAGTTTTCAACATTCACTTCCATAAGATTTTGAGTCCCAAATTTTCTCCCCATCTATCCCCTCCCCTCACCCCAAGATGGCATGTAAATTGATATAAGCTCAACATATACATTCATATTAAACCTATTTTCATATTTAACTTGCTGTATTTTGCAGCCCTAAAGATGATCAGATTGGTCATTTGGGAATGTCTTCCCAAGATCATATTTTCCTGATCTATCTTATTGTTTTCTTAGTTTTCTTCTTCACAGCTCTGGTTCAAGGACATGTAAAACTGTGTGATATAATGGGGAGAGAACTGGTTTTGCATACGTGAGAGATGAATTCTGGTCCTGGCTGTTATTAACTAGAATGTGGGAGAATCAAAGGAACGCTAGACTAGGAATCAAAAGACTTGAGTTTGTGTGTAGGTCACACGTGTTAGGAACTGTGATTTCGGCCAAGTAACTTCATCTCTTTAGACTCCATTTCTTCATCTATAAACTGAGAAAATTCATTGGCTTTAGAGCTAGAAAGTCGGGCAAGCCGCTTAACCTCTGTTTGCCTCAGTTTTGTTTTTGTTTTTCCCCCAGAGATTGTAAAGTGCTTTATTGATAGATTTTTTTTTTAAAAGAAAAACACAAGACAGAAAAAGGGAGGCTCTTCCCCAAGGATGGGACAGAGATCATGGGGTATTCCCGAGGAAATATGGGGAGTGAGTATCACATAGGGACCACTCCCCTCCAGATGCAGCACCCTCCCAGAAGGATGAAGAGGGACACAAGAGAGGGATGCAGAAATTCAAACTGAGGGCCCCTGAATACAAATCAGGCACTGTTTCCATTATTGTTCTTAGTCAGTTATTCTTCATTCACGTCTGACTTTTTGTGACCCCATTTGGGTTTTTCTTGATGAAGATACTGGAGTGCTTTGTCATTTCCTCTTCCAACTCATTTTACAGGTGAGAAAACTGAGGCAAACAGGGTTAGGTGACTCACAAAGATAAGTATTCCTGAGTCCAAACCCAGCACTCTATCTACTGTGCCACCTAGTTCCCCTGTTTCCACTGTACCACAGTCAGAAGAGATGACCTCCAAGGCCTTCCAGTTCTAACATTCTATGAACTAACAGTATAATCACAAGCAAGTGACTGAGCTGTGACTTACTTTCTCCATCTGTAAAATGATGGAGTTGGACTGAGTGAACCATAAGACAATCTCAAGTTTTATGATCCTGCAATATTGCCCCTACCAGTTATTCTTCATTTTAATTTTATATAAGTGACATTTGAATGAGGACTTGCTATCAATGACATTAATAGTGTAACTTCCTGTACTCTTCACACCTACTTGTGCCAAAAATTACCCTCTTTCCTGATTCAGTAAAACAAATTTGTGACTGATTATCATTCAGAAGGCTGAACTGCAATTCCTGCCAATTCAATTACCAGGAGCATGGATTTGCAACCACAGCACTAGAAACAAGTTAAAACAAAACAAAACAAAAACTTTCATGCTTTAACAACAAATCTTAGTTTTATGAATTCAGAACTTATATTAATCTTACCTAGACTCAAAGATGGCCCAAGAATTAACCCTACCCTTACAATATCTATCTAGGCATGAAACCCACAGAGTAAAGTCGTTCATTCAATTCAATAAATGTTTATTGAATCACTACAGTATGCGTAGTACTGTGTTAGTCACTGGGGGAGAGAGAAAATTTCAGTGAGACAAGATCTTTTCCTTTGAGGATATTTCAAATGAAAGACTTTTTGTACAAATTATCTAAGTAAATATCTTAATTTTCTACTATCCTTTAAATATATAGGCACTGAAAATACTGAAGTAATCCTTCTCTCTGAACTTTCTTATCACTTAATACCTTTCTTATTTCCTGTTCACATTTTATTGTCGTTATAATTATTTATGTTTGGGTTTTATTTCCCCTGTTAGAATATAAAGTCTACAAGGGCATGTCTTGAGAATTCTCTGTCCCCAGAGTGCCTTGTAAATATTAGGTATACAAAGAATATAGGGATTTGATGAATGGAATAATTGGTTTATAACATGACTTTGGTTAATGTTAAGGGTCTTTGGATTATTCTATTTTAATCACGGCCATCATTAAAAAGAATTAAAGTATAAATAAAACTAATAAAAACAATAAAAAAATGAATATTAGTAGCAATACCTTGGAGGTTAGAACAAAATAATGTTTAGAGGTTCAGGGTTACTTTAGTCTGCTTTGAAGAACTAACCAGAAACATTATCCTGTAATAAAACATGTATTTCAAAATACATTTTTACTATTTTACACATTCTTTAAAAACAGAAGGAAAAATTCACATTTACACTAAATAAAAAAAGACCTTTCCCAAAAAGAAATACAGACTTTTCCATGACAATTAATAGGAGATTTATTTCTTAATAATATCAACAATAATGTAGATATTGTTTTAGACAATACAGGCTTTATTCTAGATTTTGTTATTTATTTGTAACCTGTAGTTCATTGAGTGAGCTCTGGACTCACTGTGTCCAGTATTGGGAGCTTTCATATCTCACCCTCTAAGGATCATTATGCTCGCTCCCCCAAGAGTTTCCTCTGGGAAAATCTCAAAACCTATGTTGTTTATACATCTCCACAAACATTTTCCAACAAGCATTCATGGTAGCGATGCAAACATTAGATGCTAGGCAACTTTTACCCTACCAAATAATGTACAAAATCCTATAAACAAATACAAAAAAATATAAAGGGCCTAGAATTACTCATAGACAAACAGTACAATTTTTTTTTTCTTATCTCATGATTCGTATTTTCCACTAGGTTCTAAAATCCTCTAAACTCAGGACCTCCCCATGATTTGGACTCACCTCTGAAGGAAAATCTGAAAGAGTTTAAGGTTGCCTTTGGAGAAATTCCTGGACCTTCTGGTGATTCCCTTTCCCCCCTAGGATGGATTTAGAAGCCCCCCCAGACTTGTAGCATCACTGTAGTTTAGAGGAGACCTATACTTGGGTTTGCCAGGTAGGTAACACACCAACATTCTGGTGAGTGTCTCATTAAGCACAAAGTGACCCTCTAGGGGCATGGACTCCCCTGGAAGAGGAACATAATAGGGGCTGACAGGTAACTCCCCCTCCCCCATCTTATCATACACAAGCCATATAACTTATCATAAGAGTAGAGAGCAAAGTCCAAGTTCCTTGCTCCTCCAGGGGTGGAGAACCTTCAGCCCCAAGGCCATACGTGGCCCTCTAGATCCTCAAATGCGACTCTTTGACTAAATCCAAACTTCACAGGACAAATCTCGTGAATAAAAGGATTTGTTCTGTAAAACTTAGACTCAGTGAAAAGGCTGCACCTGAGGACCTAGAAGGCCACCTGTGACCTCAAGGCCTCAGGTTCCCTCCCCACCCCTGCTTAGTTCCTTGTTGCTTGTCCTGCTAGCACCAGGGGCCCTGTGGAAAATTTTCTTCTCTCTGATAGGCATACTGTCAAAGAGATTTTTCTTCTTTCAATAAAAGGCCATATCCACAAACTTGGAATTCCCACAAGGAAATTTCCCTTCTTTGACTTAGAAGCCACATTCCAGGAAAACCCTGCCTAGGAAATTCCCCACCCTATTCCCTCCTTGGACTAGGGAGCAGGGGTTTCTGAATGACTTTATTTAGGAACTCCACTCAGGCCTTGAGGGCCTGCAGCACAAGTAGGCCTATGCAGTGTCAAAGTCCTTAAAAGCGCTTGGGCTAGGAGCCACCCCCGCCTCACCTTCACTCTGAGGCTCTCTGCTAAAAAGGGCATAAGAAAAAGGGGCAAAAAACAAACAAACAAAAAAACAAACAAAACAAACACCAGAAAGTGGTCTCTCAGCTCCCTTTCATAGGTTCCTTCCACAAGAGTTCAGCCTCTCAAGAGTCTGAATCAATCAAGAGTCTGGGGCAATCCAGATCATTAAGACTCACTCATATAACTTTAGTCTTCTCATTGAGCTGCCAATAGGCATGCCTAACTCTTAAGGGAGATACAATCAAAAGTCCAGGACATAAGTTGTAAGCTCAGTAAGCTGATCAGGGAAATCTATTGAGGAAGCTCTTATGCTCTTCTCACAGTTAAATATCTTTTGCCCATCTTGGCCCATTAAACCAGGTCTACAAATAGGACTAACTCACAATAAAGACTAGGCCTGTGAATACTAGGGAAGGTTGCAGCATTCCTTTCCTAAGGCATCAAACTAAAAGTACCAGGAAGATCCGCCATGCATAGCTCTTAGACACTCTGAAAATCAAATTAACACTTTTGGGAGGGGGGAGAGGAATCCAGACCTCTGGTAGTTGGATGAATCCAGAGTTTACATTCACATCAGACAGTCTGTGACACAAAGTCCTTCAGGATCATGCCTATATTGGTGCTTATAGGAATTTGACCTTCCAAATCTCCCAAAATAATTAAAAAAGGGGAAAAAAAGGAAAACAAACAATAGCATAAAGAACACATAAGATAAAAGAAAGAAAACCAAACTTCTCTCCCCCAGAGGGGAAGCAGTTTGGTAAGACCTCAAGACGTGCTAGTACAGCACAATCTGGAGGGGCCTCTCCTAAGCTAAGCCAAGAAAAATTCAAACACTCAGCAAACCAAGTCATCCTAGTTCAGTGGGACCTCCCTGATGAACACATCTGCTGTGTGATCTTGGAGAAGTCACTTAAACGCTTTCTAACCTAAAGACACAGAATCTTAGAGTTGACAAGGGGCCCTCTTTTGTTTTACATAAGAGGAAAGCACGGACCAGTTACTTGTCAAAGATCACCCAGTTGGCTGATGGAAGAGCCAAGAAGAGAATGCAAGTGTCTTGACTCTCAGAATCAATGCTTTTTCCACTCTAGTACATTACCTTCCACTTTTGTCTCTCTCCCTCAAAAGTGGAGAAAACGACGTAACAATATGTACTTCTCCTTTCCTTTCAGAGTTAGCGGGAGACTTAGTTATATAATGCTTTAAAATGTTTTGAACTTTCTTGAAAAAAATTGCTAACATGCGTTGACATTGTTTTTCATGTGTCATTCTTCTCTTCCTATTGAATTGTAAATTCTTTGTTGATGCATACAGAACCTGGCTCGGTGCTAGGTACAACATGGTGTTCAATATGTTATAATACAGTACTTTTAACTTTTCAAAACAAATCTAGGTCTTCATGTCATCTTATTCTTAGAACAATTCTCTGAAGGCAGTGGGAACAGATGAAGAAACTAAGGCTCAGTTGGGTTAGTTTACTTGGCTAAGGTCAAAGAGCTTTGTAGCAGCAGAGGCATGAGAACTTGAAAGATATTTCTTCAGCCTGCCAGGTCAGGAAAGGTCAAGTTTAGGGAGGCTTTCCATGTTTACACTCAGAGACATTAAATTTCTAATTAAATGCTGAGACTTTTTGTGGTGACCAAAAAAAACAAAACAAAACAAAAAAACCTGGAGATACAGCGAATCCCCATTGATTGGTGAATGGCTAAATAAATTGTGGCATATGAGTTAAACAGAAAATCATTACACCATAGTGTACTATGTCTAGTCAAGCCCCAACCATGCTTCACATTTTACCCTGGCCATCATGCCCTTTGTCGTGCAACATGTATGATTCTTCCACCTCAATCCCCAACTGCCCACCACTCTCCACATTTTCTTCTATAAATCACTATAAAATCAATATTGCCACTGCTATTGGAGAGAAAGTCTCAATCAACTCCCGGTGGCTCCACTCACCATCCCTGTGACTTTCTAAACAAAATACCCTTCCTGGGTCATCACTGGAGAGTAATTGTCACCATTAGAATGAAAGCTCTTGAGGGCAGGGATTCTTTCATTTTTGTATTTGTATCCCCAGGACTTAGCACAATGCATGGTGAATAGTAATAGCTTAAAACTACTTTTTTTAATTCGTTCATTCACTATAAGAAATTTTAAGAATATGAGGAATTCAGAGAAATGCGGAAAGACATATGAACAAATGAAGACATATGAAGTTCATAAGTTTTAATAAACAGAATGAGAATTCCATCCAAAAAGAATCAAAAAATATATACATGAAAAGAACTTAATTGGGGTTTTCATTATTGTTGTTGTGTTTGGTGGCATGGGTGGTATATGGGGAAATAGTGTTGTAAAAACAAAAGGCATCAAAGAAACTTTTAAAAATGATAACAATTGATTATTAGTGGAAAATAAATACTTCATGAGCCTCAACACTAGAAAAGAGTAGTTTTCCAGCCTATTAAGACTGATACTCTTGACTGGGTATTGACACTGACTTATTTCAAGAGGGAAAAAACTGCAATAGTTTAGTTATAGTTATAGTTACCTCCATCACCTTCCTGCCAAAAATACTTTTAAAAGAATATAGCTAAGTACACATGCCCTTTGAAATATTATCATCATTGACCTGTTATTACCATTATTGCTCACTGAATTTTAGATAAATGAATGATGAAATCTATTCTGCTAACCAGAAAAACAAAACTTACCATGAGCTTATGGAAATAGCAAACAAAGAATTTTTGTATCCCTAGAAAAGGGAAATAAGATTTTGTTTTGATGGGGGTAAGAATATGTATGGGTCCGACTTCTTTCTGTTGGAGTGGAGTACTTAAAGGAAAAAGCTGTTTTACCTATGAAACCTGACTCCTTATCCCCACAGAGAGGGCAGCAGAAATGCTCACCTTTCATAGGATTTCACGGCTTGTTCCACTTTGTGCCTATAGGTCTTCAGATTGAGGGCATGAGGGTTAATTAAGATCATTTGCTCTGTGTTACTGCCCACTTGTTTCAGTGTAAAAATCTACAATACCAAGGGGAAAAAAAAGAGCAAATCATTACTTGGATGACGAACATGCATATCTTTCAGGCACAATGACTTGCAAAATATAGGTGTTTAATGTGTTTGTTCAATTGAATGGAAAGGTTGGAGAAATTTATCTTTGGACCCCAGGATCTCCACTCTATGTACTTCCTGCCTCCTCCACATCAACCACCAGAACCCTTCTAAAGAGCTAATTCTTGTCTGAGAATAGGCATTTTTTTCTTTAAAAAAAAAAACAAAAAACCCCAACTACTTCGACAACAGCTAAGTGGCTCAGCAGATAGAATGCTGGGCCTGGCATTTAGAGGACTTATCTTCCTGAGTTCAAATCTGGCCTTAGACACTTACTAGCTGTGTGACCCTGGGTAACTCACTCAACCCAATTTGCCTCATTTTCCTCATCTATAAAATGAGCTAGAGAAGGAAATAGCAAACCATTCCAGTATCTTTGCCAAGGAAAGCCCAAATGGGGTCATGAAGAGTCAGACACCATTGAAAAACAATTGAGCAACAAATATTTCAAACTTTTAAATTTGTTTTCCATACAGACCCAAAAATTCTATATTCTGTTGATGTTTAAACATATTTGAAGAAAGAGCAAGGCTAAAAGGAAGTCATCACATTGTTGGATAGCTATAATTGTTTTTAAAAGTTCTTTGTTACATATAATGAGCATTCTATTAAAAAAAACAAAAAAGCAAAAAGACTAAGATGCAGAAAGCATGGGTTCTAGCCCTGATTCCACCATCAATTACTTTGTGACCCAGAGAAAATCACTTAAATTCTCTGGACCTTGGTTCCCTAAAGAATCTCTAGGGTCTCTTTTGGTTCTAAAAGTCTGTGATTCTATGAAATTTGATTTCATGTCATGCTCACCCACTGATCTTAGTTCCGCTGCTGGACAAACAACACACAACACATCTACTTCTTCAGTCCTTTAACTGGCTTGAAGACAGCTATTATGTCTCCTCCTGGTTTTCTGTTCTCTAGGCTTTATACCACCAGATCCCACAAGCATTCCTGAGATGATATGATTTCCAAGATCCTCATTGTCCAGGTCATTTGCTTCTGAATACACACTGTAGTGGCAGATTGAGACCCTCTGTATCTCCTCTACCGCAAATTTTGGGAACCTTTCCTCTTCATTTATACTATGAAATAGTCACCAATCCCAACATAGGTAACTTGGTTTTGTGGAAATGGCACTGGACTTGGAGTCAGGAGAAACTTGGGGTCAAGTCCTGAGTTTATAGGTATATGATCACTCAACCTTCCTGAGTCTTAGTTTCTTCATTTATAAGTCCCAGTAATAATAGTTTCACTATCTCCCTTCAAGAGGAAAGCTTTTTCATAAATATCAAATCATTATAAGAAATGTGAGTTGCTTTTAACAATAACGAGAAGTTGCAAGTGGAGTAGTAGTGTCTAGCATTTACATTGTATTTAAATTTACAAGTTTTATATGTTTATTTGATCTCATTTGATCTTCAGAACAACCCTATAAAGTTGCTTAGTCTATGGAAAATACCATACAGGTATTTTCACTCCCATTTTACAGATGAAGAAAGTGAGATTTAGGTAAGTTAAGTGAGTTAACCACGGTTTCATAACTAGTAAGAAACAGAGGCAGTATTTCAACCCACATCTCTCTTTTCTAAGGCTCTTTCTACTACAACATGTTGCCTCTTACCAAGAGCTAATTCTTCAAAAACAACAGTAAAAATTCACCACCACTCCCCAAACCAAGAAGCAAACTACTAGAAATTCTCAAAAGAAAATTATTTTCAAAAAGAATTCCATTTAAAGAGACAAAGAATTTGCATAGAGTGAAAAACTGAATGAAAAGAAACCAAGACAAAAATATCAAAAAATTATAATTAAATACTAATAGAAAGACTACCAACAAAACTGGAATTTTCTCAAGGAACAATAAAACAAATAATAAACACATTGAATAAATCATAGGAAAAAGTGAAATGAGTGAAAAACTGAGCATAACCAAGAAATCTCAAGTCAATATGTTGATAAATCTCAACATTTTAAACTTATTTCTGAAAAAGTTAAACATATTTAATTTGAAAACAATTATTACATTAAAAGACAAAATGTAAGATGGAAACAACAGAAGGTAACAGAAGAAAAATGCTCCCAGAAAATGACGTATCTGAAAAAAATTGGAATATTTGTAAATGAAAATGAAAATAGAAAACAGAATACAGAGACAAAATTACAGAATTATTGGGCTACCAAAAAACTGCATGGAAGAAAAAATTATTATTTTAGTAAATCATACAGAAATATTGAGGGAGAAGAAACTACAGACTGACAGAATTCACAGACTATCAATAGGAGTGACCTCCAAATTCAACTCATGTGGAAAAATCATTGTCGAGCTTCAAAGACAAGAATAAAATGATTTTTACAAGCACCAAGAAGAAAAAGCATCACAATGAAAAACAATTTGATTTGCATAAAATTTTTCTATAAAAATGAGAAAAGAGAAAAAGAAACCGGATGACATACCAAAAACTAAATTTGTTACCCCCATCCACTTTAGCCCTAACCAATGAAAACCTAGTTTTTTGTTAAGATTCCCTTTGAATTAGAGCTCATCTCATATTCCTTTGATCATCTTGAAAACATGGAACTCTAGCTCCTTCAGAAGTTATCATAACTGTTAACCACCCATCCTCTCCAGTACTGCATGGACACTGTCAAGTTCCCAAACACTGTGCTGAGAAGTAGAAGTAAGCGCTGTCCTCACTCCTCACTGCCATTTCTAAATCTCCTCCATTCCATTATCACACTCAAAAACTTCTTTGAAGTTCACTGAATCCAGACATATTACTTTATCAAGATCCTGGGGGCACTTATCTGCCAAGCCTCAGGTCATTTTTCCTCCTTGCTCAAGGAGATTAATGCATGGCTTATAATCTTCCTCTCCATTCCAACCTCTTCCTTCATACTAGGGATTTTAATATACATGCTCATGTTTCTTCACTCTGGCTTCTCAAAGCATCTACCTTAATTTAGCTCTCATGATCTACATTTTCACTCCACCTCAATCAAATACAGGAATGGTCAGACCTTTTATCTTATCACCATCCACAAAAAAATCTGTTTCCATAATGTAGAACTCAGAATTTATCACCTCTTACTCTTTCATCTCTCTTACTAAATCAATTCCTCCTCTTTGGTACAACTTCCAGTCACTCCATTTTCCCATGTTGTTTTAGTCCAGGGGTGGGGAAGCAGCCTCAAGGCCACATGTGGCCCTCTAGGTCCTCAAGTGCAGCCCTTTGACCGAATCTAAACTTCATAGAACAAATCCCCTTATTAAAAGGATTTATTCTGTAAAACTTGGACTCAGTCAAAAGGCTACTCCTGTAATCTAGTGTATCACCTCTACTGTGGACTCATTTTCCTTCCTGTATCATCTTTGTTGTTCAGACGTTCGGTCCTGTCCACTTCTTCGCGACTCCATGGGCCATACTGTCCATGGGATTGTCAGCCTCACTCTCTTTTACACAGTCATTGAAGTCCAATGGCAGGACAAAAGTCAGGATGACTGATGATGACCCAGGATGCAGTGGATGACCTTGGCATCTTTGCTTGTCTGACCAAGCTCTAAGTGCTCAGCAGCACCTGCTTCAGCTGCCTTAATGGCCATTGGGACAAGCTGTTCTCATCCACCCATTCTGCCAAGGGAAATCTTCACTTGCTTAGGGTAAACATTCCCCTAACTCACCAATGGGTTTGAGGCCCATCAGTTACCCTTAACTTGGTTTAGCCTGTCTGCTAAGATGGTTTTACTGAGATGTGGCTGCTGTGTATGCTACATCTTCATGGAGTCACAGGTGAGAGCTGGATGAAAGGTAGACTCTAAAAGTGGATGAGTAATCCTGAAAGGGCTTGACAAGCCCTCACACCAGAGATGCTAGGCCCCTGAACATCCCATAACCCAAATGGAAGGGACCACAGGTGAGATCAGAGAAAGTATTAGACTACAATAGGGGTGGGGAACTTGAGGCCTTGAGGCTATATGTGGCCCTTTAGGTCCTTGGGTGCAACCTTTTGACTGACACCAAATTTTACAAAACAAATCCTTTTATTAAGGGGATTTGTTCTGTGAAGTTTGGATTCAGTCAAAGGGCTACACCTGAAGATCTAGAGTGCCACGTGTGGCCTTGAGGCTGCAGGTTCTCCACCCCTGGAGAAGTTTTCACTCATCAGCCACATGAGCATTCAGGAGAAACACAAACTTATCAGACCTGGGAGGGTTTCTAAGACAATAAACATCCGAGAGACTTTTTATGGTTTATTGAAAGCTGTTTTTCTAGCCCACTCAGTTTACGTAGTTCTCACTTTGCTTACAGTAATGAGCATCTGCTGGTGGGAACACCACCTGGACATTCATAAGAGAGATACCAAAATACCATGCTTGAAGTGTGTTGTCAGCTCATATTAAGACATATTTCATATACTGACCTTTAGATCAATGCGCAAAGAGAGCTTAGCTAACAAGAGAAAGCAAAGACTGAGAGGCAGGTCAATGCAAACAAGGTTTATTGAATCATAGATTTGGAATCAGAAGGGCCCTTGGTGGTCAATAAATCCACCACTCTCACATTACAGATGAAGAAATTGGGCCCTAGGGAAGTTAAGTGATTGAACAGAGTCACATAGCTAGTAAATTTCTGTGACGGGATTCAAAGCCAGGTCTTACTGACTACAAGTGTAGCATCCTACCTACTACACCAAAGAGCTTACTTCTGTGGAATAGGTGTCACTGGACAACATTAGAGCCACTCTGCTGCTTCCTGGAATACAAAACCACAGAGTATCACAGCTGGAAGAGACCCAAGGTCATCAAATGTCAGAGCTGGAAGAGACCCAAGAACATAGAACGTCAGAGCTGAAAAGTACCTTAGAACAAAGAATGTTAGATCTGGAAGGGGCTTTAGATCATAGAATGTCAG